TTCAAGAAGTATCTTCTGTTCTTCTAGCCACTCCAGGTTGGTCTGCTTGGACCCTCACACACTCTTAAACTGAACTCCCTCTTGAAACCTTGTCAGGTGCTTCGTGCCTTTATCGCCCCTTCATTTTAGGTAGCCAATGTCTAAGTTGCCCATTCCTGTCTACCCTGTGTACAGAGGGAATAGCATTGATACTTGATATGAAGACTCCTTCCTTCTCTGTTGATATTTTGAGCTATTGCCTCCATGAGTATAGGTCAGGTTCATCAAATTGCAGCAATTTACCCTTGTTTCCTTTATCAATAAATTTTGTTGTTGTTTGTTTTTTTAATCTTCTGCTAGTTGAGTTCTTACTATCAAGCCAAGTTTTGGTGTTCTTGTGTGTTTCCCCTAACTTCATATCAGCTGGATGCTTCACTCTCAGCTCTAGCCCTCTGTGGCTATGACCTTGTCCATGGGCTCAGGTGTCCCTAGGTCTCACCATACTTTGGACCAACCAGCCCTTTCTCTTCTCTCGCATATCTCCAGGTCAATGGGAGTCCATGGAACATGGATGAACTTAGCCCATTTCTTCATTGCTGCCTTTCCCCCTCTTCCACTCACCAGTAGACCAATGTGGTCACCAGAAAATTTACATGCCTGCTCATGTGTTCCCTTTGAGTTTCAGTCTTAGAGAGGAGTTTGTCCTGAAGGAACTTGATTGCTTGCCTCAATGGCTTCCTGGCAAACAACTGGCTTATTCTCTTGTAGTAGCCAGTCATACTGTCAATTTGTTTTGGGTTTTTCCTGCTGATCTTTCTTTGAAGATGTATCTTCTGTCACTCTAGCTGTTCCAGGCTGGTCTGCTTGTCCTTGATAGTGGGAATGTCCCACATCAGAAGGTTCTGGATGGGGCTCAAGATTCTACCTAAGGCCCAATATGCTCTGCAAGAGACCTATTTCACTGGGCAAGTTGTAAATATCCTTTTAGGTATTCCAGTCAGTTATAGGCTGAAGACGGGCTTACAGGTTTTCTGTAATAGTGTTTCTTGGTATTCTTTTTCATCCCACTCAAATGGCTATTTGACAATAGTAGGCAAGGGAAACCAGTAAGACAGTCAAGCATCTTAGTATTATTTCCCCTCTTCAGACTATGCCTCGATCCCTGTATCACAGAGCCTTGTTGTTTCAAGGTTCAGCATACATCACTATTTACCTCTGTCCCATTTAATCCATGCAAACCTGACTCCATGTCCCCTATCTACCTTGTTCTTCCACCCCTCCCCTTTCTTGTGTACTCCCCTCCCCAATAGCCAAACTATGATGTGTCTTCCCTCTAACCTGTGCTCTACCGTCACCTCCCTCCACCTCCCCAAACCCTCCCACCGGTAACCACCAAAGATTTTTTTTCTCCCTTTTAGTATGGGTCTCTTTTCTTAAGCTTTTGTAATAATGGTCTTATGCAATACTTGCCCTTTTTTGACTAATTTCACTCAGCATAATGTACTCAAGGTTCATCCATGTTATGTGGTGGCTTACAGCTTTGTTTTCATTTTTCAAGGTAGCATAATAATTGTGTGTATGTATCAAAGTTTGCTTATCCATTCTTCCACTGATGGGCACTTAGCTGTCTCCATCTTTTTGCTACTGTGAATACTGCTGCTACAAACATTGGTGTGCATATATCTACTCCATGTTATGGCTCGTATTTCTTGTGGATATATACTAAGCAAAGGAATTGTGGATCATATGGTATTTCTATTTCCAACTTTTTGAGGAAGTGCCATACTGTTTTCCAGAGAGTTGGACCATTTTAGTTTCCCACCAGCAATGTAGAGGGTCCCAGTCTCTCCATATCCTAGTATTATTTATTGTTCTCTGCATTTTTGAACTTCACTGTTATTGCTGGTGTGAGATGACATCTAATTGTTGTTTTGATCTGCATTTCTCTAATGGCTAATGATCATGAACATTT